GCAGACATCCTGAAAGCTCTGCACTTCTGCTTCTTTTAGAGTTTTAAATACCAACATCCCTTCCATCAGGCGTTATCTCAGCCAAGCCTCCAGACAATTCCTGAGGTAGGAATTATACGTCCCAATTTTATAGATAAGTAAAATAGGGCTTGCCGAAGCTCAGAACACACAGCTTGGAAGAAGCGAGGAAGCTGGCCAAATACCAAATTCTTGTCTCTTCCACCAGAGCACAGTTTTACCAAGGAGAGAAAAGAGAGCGCTATCCTGAAACAGGGGCTGTATGTCAGCTATTATTACTGTCGTTGTTTCTAATACTGTCACCTTACACCCTCTGCAGCCTACGTAGACACTTTCCCTCCCTTTGCCTCATGTCATTCTCTGGGACCTGGGGTGCTGACAGAGAGGGGCACTTCAGAAAGTCAGGTGGAAGAGCAGAGCAGGAAGTGTTGGAATTGAGGCTAGAAATTTAGTCCCATTATGTTTCACCCCCAACGGATTTATATGCATGATTCCCAGATACTGGGGCGTAGATCTAGCCTGACATCCCCTCCATGCCCTTGGCCCGCTGGGACTCTATAAATGCTTGTTGAACTGAGCTGAAATAAACACAAGTCCTGTGCTGAGTACAGTGATGCCCAACAGGCATGACCCCCAAATGGAGCTGCCTAGGAAATGGCCACTCCACCTTCCCCCAAGTCAGGCTGGGTGAGTCTGAAGGCTCTGCTGTCTTTGTGCTAAAGCTAGACCTGCAGCCAGCTTCTTCCAAGAGCCACAATCTCCTGAGAGCTGAAGTCAGACTGGTCCATATTGTTAGCTTCCCACCAGTCCCATTCCACATGGGGCACTCCAGACCCCTTCCTGCTACACCCCCCAGGCCCAGGGCCCTGCAAGCCACAGGGTACTGGGACTGAATGCGGTTGCTCTGCTGCCTGCCAGCTATCGCCTCGGGTCACCCATCTGCTCCGCCTAAGGGGGAAAGAGATGGGCCCTTTCTTGCCAGAGGCAACCCTGGTTTCTGGGACCTGGGTCCCATCCTCACCTCCTTCCTTGGGAGCCCAGCTCCACACCTTGACCCCAAAGGACTCAGATGTCCCCTTTCCAGACCAGTTAAATCACAGAACTAGGGCCTGGCCACTCTATTTCTTAAAAGCTCTCCAAGAGATTCTAATGTGTAATCAAGGTCTCATGAACAACCTGCCTTTCAGAAAAGAGAGAAACACAATACAAAACAATTGAGCAACAGATCAGATTATAGCAGATTCATGAGAGTGCTTTCCATGCTATGAGGGTAACTATTGATTCTTAAAAGTTTTGTTTCAACCGTGTGTGTGTGTCTGTCTGCATGCATGGGTGTGTATGTATATGGGTGTGAGTAAGCGTGTTATCTTGGTTCATGATAAAAATGTCATGTCTTGTCATTTTTGAATCGTGGTTCAAAAATGGTTTTTAATGGAAAAATCCCTGGCAGAAAAACCTACCTCTGCCGGCTCTTCATCTTCATCTGGTTCTGCCAGCTCATCCCTAACACTTTACTAAAAACTTCTTGCTGAGGCTTCCATGATCTATACCCTCCAAATCTAGAGGTTTCTGCCTGCACTGCATGTCCTGCCACCTCTCCGTGAAGCCATTCAAATAGATGACTCTTGTTCTCGGTCCCCAGAATTGGTGTCGTCCTCTAGATCGTCCTGTCTCTGACCAGTTAACCCTTCTCCCAACTCCTAAATGGCTTTGGCTTTCAAGCTTCTAGTTTCTGTTCTCCCCATTCCCCTTTGCTGCCTCTCCTCCCAGTCAATGGCTCCCATTACTGGGTGTTCAAGATTCCAAATCCACGTCCTGAGTTTCCTCTCTTGAGCTGCAGGTGTACAGCTGGCTAGCCATGTGGCATGGTAGTGTCCAGGAAACGGAGGTGGGGCTAAGGAGGAGCTGGACTGACCACTTCACACACTTGACTATGTCAGTAGGTGAGGCAAGCAAGGGAGGGCTATTGACCCCGCAGAGTAGGAAATGGAGCCTTAGAGAGGCTGAGGGACATTTCCATGGTCACTCATGTATAGCGAGAGTCTTTCCATTCACATGATACATTGGAACTGAACATGTGCAAAAGTAAAACTACATCATGTTCATTAAGCCAATTAGAGCTATGCCCAAGAGTCATGAGGAATGTTCTATGATGCCAGACTCCACCTCAACTTACTGACGTAGTCTTCTGGGAGAACTTTTTGTTAGTTTGTTTTAGATTTATATTTTGAAGTAATTACAGATTCACAGGGAAGGACACAGAGATGTGCTCAGTTACCCTTCACCCAGCCATGCCATATATTAACATCTTGCATGACTAGTGCAATATCAAAATGGGGACATTGCATTGACACAACTCAAGAGCGTGTTTAGATCTCTCCAGTTTAGATCTCTCATATCTGTATGCATGGAGTGCTGTGCAACTTGCTCCCATGTGGAGATTCATGTAACCACCATCACAGTCAAGATGCTTGACTGATGCCATCGCCACTAAACTTCCTAAAGCTTTGGTTCTGGAAGCTGCATTCCTCCTGACGAACTGGTACACCCAGCCCACTGCTCCTCCTGCCTCTCTCTCCTGGGAATGCACCACCATCCTCTGAGTCGCCTGACTTGAAACTGAGCCCCTCCTTTGACACCTCAGCCAGCAGTCAAAAGATCCACTGATGCGTCACTCATAATTATCTCTCAGGCCCTTATTTTGCCCTTGATTCCTACACCCACCACTCCCCCGGGCCCCTTGATTTCTTCTTGGTGCTGCTGCAAATGCCTCCTCATCTAGTTCCCATCTTCAAGATGTCCATTCCCCCAACCATTTTCAAGAACCCCACCAGATCTCTCCATTGCCCAGCATTCCTCTCCTCAAAAAATTTCAGTGGTTATCACCAAGTACAAAATAAAAGCCAAACTCTTTAAATCCAAACATGAAATACTCAGTGTCTGGATCTCTTTCCATACCTAAATTTCTCAAATTCACTATCCACTTTCACCTTTTTGTCCCTATGAACAAAAGACAAGTGACATCCTTAAGGTCATGATGAATTTCTCACAAAGGGGAAGAAATAAAAGTACCAAGATTTCGTCTTCTTTTTCTTTTTTTTTTAGATTTATTTTTATTTATTTATACATAGGAGAACTGGGGTGTAGGCCAGAGATGCAGGGGTGAGAGAATTCAACAGAGACAGAGTGAGGAGCAGAACAGGTGGACGTACTGAAATACACTGTTGAGGGGAGCAGCGGGCAAGACAGGAAAAGTCTGCTGCACCATGTGGGTTGCTCCCTGGCCAGGGATCAAACTCATGCCACAGTGCCTGGCGACAGCTTGATAGCACTGAGACTTTAACCCCTGTGCCATCAGGGAGGCCTCTCCAACATTTCTTCTTCCTAGTGCTCATTCTCTTTTGTCTTTTTTGTGATGTGAGAGGGGCAAGAATGTGCTGGGGGCCCCTCTAGCTCAGGAGCTGTCCTTGCCCTTGGAAGGATGACTCTTCTATCCTTTACCTCCTTACAGTGTAAAAGGTGAGGGGGGTGGGGCGAGGGGAGGGGAGGGATTGGGGTCAAAATAAGGGGGTTGCAATTATATGGGGAATATAAAAATAAAATTTATTTTTAAAAAAAAGGTGAGGGGGCCAGTTGTATGGGGCTCTATGGAGTGAGGGATGGGCTATATGGACAGGGCCGTCTTAGTTTTAGCCACTGGGGAATGGAAGCTTCTATAGGTAGCCATTCCTTGGGCCCTAGCAAGAGGGTGGCAGGCAGCTGTTAGGGATGTGGAAGCCAGAGTCCCTCCTGTCGCCCTCACAGTGGACGTCACCTGTGTTGCCTACTTACTGCCACTCTTGATACCTTTACCTTCATTTACATGCATGGGCAATGGAAGGCAAGTGATTCATAAGCACTGCCCTTCAGAAACTTCTAAAATCCCCTCCACAGTGCTGCTCCTACACATCTGACTACATGATAAAATGAGACAAAAATTTGCTTATTGAGATTAAATATATTTCAATTATCTGATACATTTCAGCTTTAATTGATAACAAAACACAAATCGGCCATCTAAACTTCTCATTACAGCAAGTAATTCATTGAGAAATTTACTGCCTGACACCAGAGACCGCTCAAATGATAACACAAGCCCAGTAAATCTATGATTCCATGACCCAGTGGTCTATTTTTTCAATTGTGTATTATCCAAAGCACATCCATATTAATGGTCCTCTCAAGAGCACTGTTGGTAAAAGGTCTCAATACATGGTGTCTAAGTTTGAGAACAGTGTGGAGGTGGCATAGGTGGAAGGAATCAGAGGCCATGGAATATATACCAAGGGAAAGAGAGAGCTGGCAGTGAATGGACAAGGGGGGACAGTGATGAGAAGGATTCAACAAGGCACCTGCAGGGCTTTGCTAGGGTCCAGTGGAACTGGGAGTAGGGGCTCAGCACAGAGGATAGACTGTCATCAGCTTTGCTGCTGTCGAGGGTTACACATCTACTACATTTTATGCTATCGACACCACAGGATCTCCCCTACCACCAGCACCATCAACACTTCCCCCAACATCACCACCACTGCTGAGACAACACTGACGAAGAATCTTTCAGGCAGGGGCCAAGGAACACCACTCAATAAAATGTAGCTTCACAGAAGAGTCCTTGGAATGTTCATTTTGTACATGGTGGGGATGGCACCCAGGGCTTTTTACCTCATATTTTATTAGGAGGTCAAAGGAGACTATGGGTGTCCAGTAAGGAAACACCTGGGGACCAGATCTCTCTGGGAGGTAGAAAGGGTGTAAAGGGTGTACTTATTGAATGAAGTTTCCAGAGTGGGAACCACCATGAATCTCTCATTTCTAAGGCAACATCCATAGAATGAGCTGCCACGGAGAACCTTGAGAAAATGAGAAGCCCGAACAGAGGCTGAACCCTCTGCTCAGATGTGGAGCAGGCTCTCGGTCCAAGACTGCGCAGACACACCACTCACCGTTACTGCTGTTGTCGTCCACCAGGATGATCTCCTTGAGCAGGTGTGGAGGCGTGCGCTCGATGGCTGAGTGGATGGAGCGCAGCAGCACCGAGAGTGCTTCGTTGACAAAGATGAACACGATGCTCACCTCCGGCAGGCTGTCGGGAAACGAGAGGTTGCGGCACCTGGAAGAAAAACAGTCAGGCTGTCAGATCTGCCAGGGACTGGGCTCGGACCACCCAGGTGTTGACCCACCCCAAGTCCTGGCTCAAGCTTTTCTGGATGGCACAGGAGTCCAGATTCTTCTTTTGGGTCTTACTGATCCACTTATTAAAAGCCTTAAGTGTGCAGCAGATAGTTTTGACCATGGAAATCTGCCTGCCCTACAGCAGAATCTGATTTTGTTACTGACCATCCCAGCTGAATGGCTGCACCCAGTGCAGTGCCTGGAACCCAGAAATGATCACTGGGTATTTGCTGGAAGCATAAACATTTCTTTTTTTTCTTGAATTTTTAAAATATATTTAATTTTATCTGTAATTTCTTAAACTGAAATGAAAATGCTAACATTTTGGTAACACCAGAGATTAAATTTTTTTGAACATTTAGTTTAAATTCACATTTACACAAAAGCCCAGGACCTGATGGATTTACAAATGAATTCTACCAAACATTCAGAGACGAATTAGTGCCTATCCTTCACAAACTCTTCCAAAAAATTGAGAAGGAAGGGACAATACCAAACACGTTTTATGAAGCCAACATTACACTAATACCAAAACCGAACAAGGACAACACAAAAAAGGAAAACTACAGGCCAATCTCCCTAATGAACACTGATGCAAAAATCCTCAATAAAATTTTAGCTATCAGAATCCAACAATGTATCCATAAGATAATTCACCACGACCAAGTTGGATTCATTCCAGGGGCACAAGGATGGTTTAACATCCGAAAATCAATCAACGTTATCCAACACATCAACAAAAAGAAATATAAAAACCATATGATAATATCAATAGATGCTGAGAAAGCTTTCGACAAAGTGCAACACCCATTCATGATAAAAGCCCTTGAAATTCTGGGGATACAAGGAACATACCTCAACATCATAAAGGCCATCTATGACAAGCCAACAGCCAGTATCATTCTCAATGGTGAAAAGCTGAAAGCAATTCCATTAAGATCTGGAACAAGACAAGGATGTCCACTCTCACCATTGCTTTTCAATATAATACTGGAAGTCCTAGCCAGGGCAATAAGACAAGAGAAAGACATCCAAGGAATCCAAATAGGAAAAGAAGAAGTCAAACTATCACTATTTGCAGACGATATGATATTATACATAGAGAACCCCAAAAACTCCACAGAAAAGCTAATTCAACTCATCAATCAGTTCAGTAAAGTGGCAGGATACAAAATCAACACGCAAAAGTCAGTAGCCTTCCTATACACAAACAATAAATCTGAAGAAGAAGAAATCAAAAAGACCATCCCTTTTGTTATTGAAACAAAAAAAATCAAATATTTGGGAATAAATCTAACAAAAGAGGTAAAGGACCTATACAAAGAAAACTATAAAACACTGTTAAAAGAAATAGAAGAAGACACAAAGAAATGGAGAGACATCCCCTGCTCATGGATTGGAAGAATAAACATTATTAAAATGGCCATCCTACCAAAAGCAATATACAGATTCAATGCTATTCCAATCAAAATCTCAATGGCATTCTTCAAAGAAATAGAACAATTATTGATGAAATTCATATGGAATCACCAAAAACCCCGAATAGCCAAAGCTCTCCTGAAAAAAAAAGAAGGGAATGGAGGCATCAGACTCCCAGACTTCAAACTATACTACAAAGCCATAATCATCAAAACTGCATGGTATTGGAACAAGAACAGACATACAGACCAATGGAATCGAATAGAAAATCCAGAAATAAACCCACAGATTTATGGTCAACTAATCTTTGACAAAGGAGCAAAGAATATGCATTGGAGCAAAGAAAGTTTGTTCAATAAATGGTGCTGGGAAAACTGGGTCGCTACATGCAAAAGAATGAAGCTTGACCACCACCTCACACCATACACAAAAATCAACTCAAAATGGATTAAAGAACTAGACATAAGACCTGAAACCATAAAATATATAGAAGGAAATATAGGCGAAACACTACGTGATTTGCACATCAAAGACATCTTTACAGACACATCACCCAAAGCAGTGATAGTGAAGGCAAAGATAAACAGCTGGGACTACATCAAATTAAAGAGCTTTTGCACAGCAAAAGAGACAATAACAAAAACAAAGAGAAACCCCACCAACTGGGAGAACATTTTTGCACCCAACACTAATGATAAAGGACTGATCACAAAAATCTGCAAAGAGCTGATGAGACTCAACAACAACAAAGAAAATAATCCAGTCAAAAAATGGGCAGAAGAGCTTAAAAGAAACTTCTCTGAAGAGGAAATGCAAATGGCCAACAGGCATATGAAAAAATGTTCAACATCACTTGTCATCAGGGAAATGCAAATCAAAACTACCATGAGATACCATCTTACACCAGTGAGAATGGCACATATTAAAAAAACTAGCAACAACAAATGTTGGCGAGGGTGTGGAGAAAAAGGAACTCTTCTGCACTGTTGGTGGGAGTGCAAACTGGTCCAACCACTGTGGAAAGCTGTATGGAGATTTCTGGACCTACTAAACATAGAGCTTCCATATGATCCAGCAATTCCACTCCTAGGTATTTACCCAAAGGACACAGAAACATCAATTCCAAAGAACACCTGCACCCCTATGTTTATAGCAGCACTGTTTACAATAGCTAAGCTTTGGAAACAACCCAAATGCCCAAAAGTAGATGACTGGATCAAGAAGATGTGGTACATATATACCATGGAATATTACTCAGCATTCAAAAAAGATAAACACATGCAATTTGCAGCAACATGGATGGCGCTGGAAGGGATCATGCTCAGCGAAATAAGCCAAAAAGAAAAAGAAAAATACCGGATGGTCTCACTCATAGCAGGAATCTAGAAAACTTAAATAAGGGACCAGGAAAATGAATAACTATAAGAAAGTGAAAATCAAAATCAACAAAAAACTATGAACCAGAGACACTTTTAGGGGGGCGGGGGTGGGAGGGGAGGGATTGGGGTCAGAATGGGGGGGCTGCAATTGTATGGGGAATATAACAATAAAATTTATTAAAAAAAAAAAAATAAAATAAAATAAATTCACATTTACATCTAAACCCAATTAAGATAGAAAATACAACCAAAGGCACAGCTTCATTTTTATCAAAATGGTGGCCAACACCTAGATGAGGCAAGACCTTAGGTGATCTGGCTCAGGAGTGAAATGTGCCTTCTCTTGTCAGGAGACACCCTGCCTCATCCAAGCACATACCTCCTAGAGGTTCTCCTAGCCCTCATCTATCATAGGTATCCAGCCCCCAGGACAATCACACCAGGGGTCTTCCCTGGAGGACAATTGGTCAGGAAAGAGGCTGCCCCTAAATGTCCCATCTCCCCTCTAGTTCCACTGAAACTCTGCAGCCATCTGGAGGTCTCTTACCCAAAGGACACGAGGCAAATTCATAAAGGTCTACATGCCATTCCCCATGGGAAGAGGAATAGCACCCTGAAATCAGACTCCATAGAGGTCAGATAATAAGAAATGCCATGGTTCCTAAAAACACTTCCAATTCTTTCCTTGCAAGCACTGTCTTTGTGGGCAGAAAACCACTGCTAGGCCCCTTATCTGGTTGAAACTAAAGGCCGTTCCAGAAGGCACTGAGCTCCCATCTTCAGGAGAGTTGAATGAAAGGACAAAGTAGTAATTACAGCCCATCGCAGGCCTTGGACTCAGAGAGGAGGCTGCCCACATTCACCACCAGCCACTGAAGGCTCCAGGAGTTCAAGGCTGGTGACATGTTGCAGCACTCCGATGGGGGAGATGCAGCCAGGTCAGAACAGGCAGTAATGAGTATAGTAACACAGTGCTTCTGTGCGTCAGTAATTAAAGTACTGTAGGAGGATAGGAATGGGTCTGCTCTTCCTTAATGAGGAAGGCTGCAGGATAACCAGCACTGAACAATTTGGAGAAATCACCATGGGGCCCCAGCCTGCTTAAGAGCAGAAGATTAATAAACTACAATCATGGTCTCTATGGTTACAGAAATTTACAGGAACTTCTCCCATTCTATTTCCAGCTCTCTCAACAAAGAGTCGGAGGAGGGAAAAAGTTGAGCCTTTTCCACAAACTGCTTCATACTTGAATTTTACTAGAACCATTGGGTCAATAGATGGGTGAAAAATTCATTCTTGTATTTAATAGGATATTTACTGAGCTCCCTTCATCAGTCAGGGACTGATGTGGACACTGAAGGTACGTGGACGAAGTCACTGTCTTCAAGAAGCGTATGATTTGACAGGGGACACAGATAAACACAGAAGCAAACCCAATGATACACTTTCATTAAGTGCTGAGATGGAAAGTAACCTGGGATAAGAGACAGCTGTCCTCTAAGAATTAGTGAGGGAAGGAGTCTCTAAGAAGGCAAGATTTGATCACAGAAGAGTGAGCCCATGCAAAGGCCCCTTGGGGTTGTGGGGACAGTGCTAAGGATGGAGGGGCTGGATGGGGGGAGCCAGCTCACTTAACTGCGATGAAGGTCTGAGATGGGCAGGCTGGAGGGAGGGAATTCGACGGAGAAAAACTGGAGTGACCCTTTTTTTTTTTTTAACTCAGCAGATCCTTTGTAAAAATGTTTGTTGTTGTGAGTGAATTTTTACAACAGCAAATAAAAGATTTATTGTGAACAGTTAAATAATCCCTGTAGCTAGTGCTTGCTTATGACTATCAAGAGCAGTGACAAGTCTTTCCCTAGACATGAAAACTGTCACCCAAGCAGAATGGAAATGTTGTATTTGTTTTGGAAGCTAAACAATGCCGGTCACTACTTTCACATGAAGAACTCCCTCCCTGAAAACCTTTGGAGCACACAGAGCATCTAGCGGGGTGTGCCATCTGTATCTGTGGGTACAGGGGTGCCGGCTGCCCTCTCAGCTATAATGAAACTCCTGGAGAACAGGGACTTCATTTAGTCACCATGTTGTCTCCCAGCCTTACCCATGGTCTGGCACACAGTAGGTCTTGGGGTTAAGC